ATACAAAGGAAAGTGTCAAAGTCAGTACTAACTTTTTCATGCCTCTTAAGTAGCTGGTGTCTCTGCATGAAGTACTGATCTTTGAGTTGCTGTTTGAGGAGCTGATGTTTTTCTTGCAAGTGTCGCTCTTCCAGCTCCCAGATCGCAGCTTCACGAGCTGCAGAAAGAGGAAGGCTGGTTCAGAAAGTACGATACAATACTTTTTAATCTACAGGCAAGGGTATGTTTAAAAACGACCTACAAGTGAATTTTAAGAACAATGCTACTCCATAGTGTAAGTTTTATTACAGTTTTAGTTTAATCCTGAAGGCGTTTGATTTCATACATTTAAGGCAGACTTATTATTTTACTAAAACACAACACAAAAAAATTTGGTTTTAAGGAGAGAGTACAATGCAGGATACCTCTCATGAGCTGCTGTTTGTTGTTGAGGCAATCTCGTTCAATAGTGGCTAGTTCTGTCTTTTGTTGCTGAATAATTTTCTTCAGCGACGCATCCAGTTCTTGCTGCTGCTTCTGCACAAATTCCTGCTCCTGTTAAAAAGCAATGGAAATAAGTGGAATTACGTTCTTCTAATCGCATTACATTTTAATAAGATTCTCAGTTCTCTCAGTGTTTAACTGTATATAAAAACAAATACACCTTTGAGTTAATTTAATTGAGTTAACATGCCTAAGCTACAAAGTTATGCATCTCTTGTGTTTTCCACATAGAGAGAGCGGATACTTATAAATTTTACCTTCAGGAATAAGACCAAAGGCAACAAACTAACCAATAATCTACAATTCATTCTGCTTCTTGCCTCTCAAAAACAAGCTTGCAGGTTCAAAGCTAGCAAACACAGGTGTGCTCAACATAAAGCTGATCTCATCGTATCGAGATTATATATTCAATGATATAAGAAAACAAAAGTATTTATGATTGTTTTGCTTTGATTATGAAATAAAGCCTATTTATTTACAGTTGGGCCTCAAATTTGTCTCCCAGTCTCTGGGAGGTTTATCTTGTCATGAACACAAAGATATTGAGGCTGGAAGCTCTGCGAGATGGCTGAAAAGACACCCAAAGGCTTTTGCAGGAATTGCCTTTTGCAGGAATTGTAAACCTCAGCTCAGCAGTAGTCATACCACAGCTGGGCAGACTACTTGCAAAGCGAATGCGTGTGATGCAGTCCCCATACTGTCTGGGGCTTCCCGCTACCCAGAGCATCTCAGCCTGTTGCATCAGGTCATGAGAAGCAGGCAGCAGTAAGGATCCCCTTCTCTCCCCTCCCACGTACCAAGGGTGCACTGTTGCCTTTTTCCTCTTCACAACTATCACAAAAAAAGCACATGTACAAGCATGCAGGCATGCGCACACACACTCTTTAAGAACAAGAAATTAACATTTCTACCATGACATAAGAGTAAGTATAGTCAGAAGAAAGGAGAACGGTGGTGTACTGGCAGAGCCAGGACAGGCAGCTAAAGCACTTTCTGTTACACGTAATGAAACACAGTTAAAAGCAGTCTATTGAGGGGGAGGTGGGAAGAGGCAGGAAAACAGCACTGCCCTACGGGAAATCAGTGGAAGAGTGTCCTGAGCTACGTATTTTTTTCTTTTTAACTGAGTCCACGCTACTCACTAAAAGAGTCGACAGCAACATACGGAATTAGATGTTCATTAAAAGCACTTTTATTACGACCAGGAGAATCGTGGTTTTCCTCTTCACAGAAAGTTATTCAATAATAGGTGAGGCTTTCATCTCTCTCAGTGGTCAGCAGGGTAACATTTAGATGGGTAACACAAAACCAGAGGTGGAATAAGCTGGTGAAGATTTCAGACAGTGGCAGACCAGGAGGGCCATAAAGGACTGGAGGGGCAGGTTTGTAAACAGAATCAGACATTCCTAATGAAATATACTGACTGATGAAAAATACTGTTCTGCATTATTTCTAGATCGAAAGGGTGAGAGAAGTAGGAGTTTAGTATTCTGAAGGTGCAGGCGTATAAATAACACTGTATTTGAATTGCCAGGGATTTTCTTTATTTTGAGGGGGGGTGGACAGGAGACACAGCTGCTCTACATTCTCTACAGCTGTGAAACACATTTTATTTCAAGGGTGGTTATGGTCAAAAAGCAATTATACTTCAGAGATTTTACTCTCTCAATCATTTAAATATCATTGTTGTTCTCTACATTGTAAATTTTTAAAGACATCTTTAAGTTGCTAGCACTATAAGATAAACCAGGCAATCTCAGAAAACACAGGAGCCTTTCCGCTTCCCTCATCTAGCCAAGTATCCCATGGAAGAGAGATTATGGGCTTTCCTGAAGAGCGTGTTAGATGATGGAGAAGGCAGACAGTGCAATACAACTTGCCTTTTCAGAATTACCATTTGGTTTTCCCCAAAAATATCTTAAAATAAACTCATTATGTATTTTTAAAGTACATAGTTTCACTGCACACAGAGCATAAAATAGTCACTGTTTCTCACATGTGCTGAACAATTGATTTATTATATCAAGTATAATGTGTTTGTGAGAAACCAGTGTCTTGCCCAGAGTTGACTGCTACAGTAATGTTGATCTTTTCACTATGAATAGTGCATAGTTTTATATATTTGTGCTAACTGCTTTTGAGACACCAGGGAAATTGATCAGCACATATAAGCAGAAGCGAGAAGAAAAAACCACACATCTGGAAAATTAGGAAAATAAGCTTTTAAAATATATTTAAATATATTTTGGGACTTACATCCTGCATTTGCGCGTTGAAAAGCGTACACGAAGACAACTGAAAAGACTGAATCATAACCTGAGCAACACCCTGTGGGATACAATGTACTTCCCATGTCAGAATATAATAAAATATAGTTCTCCTCTTAAAAAGAATGAGACTCCGCCATATGCTAGTAGTATATATTAAAAATATCGAGGCTAATCACACAAAACCAGTCACTGACAGGAGAAATTCTACATATTCTAAGACAATAGAGCTGCACACTGTCTAGTACTTCTTTATCATTCCAAGTGAGGATCTTTCACCTTAATCAAAGATGCTCTACTTGGGAGGAAAAAAAAAAAAAAAGAAAGAAAGGAAGAAAGAAAAAAAAAGTCAGTCACTGCAAACACTATAAAAATTCAATTCTAAAACTATTTCCTTAAAAAAAAAGTTCAGAGACATATATCCTCAGTGGGGGAGAGTACTGTAGCTCAGGCAAATGCTATCCTGGGAAATCCTCTCCTGAACAGAGCATGTAACTCGCTAAAGTTTTCTACTAGGTCACTTGTGTAAACATTTAACCTTGAAGAGCTATTCAATCCAAACATGCCCTGTAGTGGTGCAGACTTCCTCTGCACAAGCTGTGCCCATCAGAAGAACAGGTTTCTAAAATATTTTAGGCTCCTTTCTACCTAGGTCATATAATGGCAGCAAGTTTGAAAGCGTGAAATTATATATGATGTCTTCTAAAGTTCCCGTACACCTACACTTTGACATTTAAATAACTACATTTTACCTAGTCTGTTCTGCAGCTACAAACAAGATACCTTATGCTTATACTTCCTGTATTTTCCTCCCCTGTGCTTACTGCTCAAAAATAACTACTGTGACCTTTGTAATTTGATGAACCTGTGGGATACTTACCACCCAAAAAAGCATTACAATGAAACCAGCTGTGGAAAAATACTGGGTTGTTCTGGTTAGGAACATTAAGCTTAAAAGCACAAACCTGGACATATGGCTGTTCCTACGTGACTACACACTGTACTCTCACAGGAAGGGATACGGGAGTGTTTGAAGAAAGAGAGTTGTATGTAGGGTTAGTCTGAGTTAAGTTGCATATTCACTCAACAACAACAAAAAGTGAAATTATCAAGCCGTGTGAATACTGCTGCTTTTTGCATTTTAGTAGCTTGAAGCTGCCGTTGTTACCTGAGCATGCTGGTTTTGTGCAAGCTCCTCTTTCTTGCGTTTCATGAGCTCTTTTCTCAGCTCTTTTGGTGCTTTCTCCACTTCACTTAAAACCTATAGTGTATATAAGCATGCAGAAGGTGGCGAGAAGAACACGTTTTTCTCCACAGCAAGCAATTTTGTGAACATAGGACATGCAGGTCATGCGCTAGAGGTAGTGGGAAGCGTGCATTACTTCAGTGGCAGAAATGTTAGTTTAGTGAAAGGAGCTTAATGAAAAGAGAAGAAACAATGCATGCTTTATGCATGCTACTGCAGTGCAGAAAGGAGGTATATGCCAGCTTCTTTTTGCATGCAAATGCTGAGCAGTGCTCTCAGAAATGGCAGTCTCTTGCTTGAGTTTTCCTGCAGCAGCTAGAATAGTCAATAGTTAAGAAAACCACCACCCGCAGAAGTGGTATTTTCTTGAAGCATTCCTGAAAAGGACTATAGAGTATGTTTATCTCATGGTAAAGCTGTGTGAAAAATAACTGGAAGTTTAAAATAACTTCCGCTGAAAAATAGCCGTTTCTGACACTCTCAACTCTCAACTCATAAGATGTCATTATTAGCTTCTCAAACAAAAATAACATTTACATAGGAGATATACTTAAATCTTGAAAAAAAAAATTGCAGAGACAAACCAAACTTTAAATGGTTATAGATGTTCAGTTCTGAAGAATTTTAAAGCAAAAAACTCCGGTAACTACGTTTGTAAGAAATTTTAAATTATACTTTATGCTGAAATGGTACATGTGGCCAGTCTGAGGTGAATCAGGCTAGATTAGCTGAATTTTTCTGAATATAATTTGGTTAAATCAACTTGCCATGAATCTGATAATTTGCTGATGTGTTTTAATTACCATGAAAAGTTAAGATAATTAAACACTGCACAATCCTAAATACAGCATGGGTACTTTCAGAGTGTCAGCTGCATTTTCCTTCAAACTGTAAGTCGCCTTCTTAAGCTTTAAATACAAAAGTATGTACCCAAAAACAAATGCCTGTTTGTTTAACAGTGGAAGCATCAGAAAACAGAGTCCAAATCACCACATGCTATTCCTGTTTCCGTGAAAGAACTGATTTTAGCTCAGAGCAATACACATAACTCTTCCCGCTTTCCCATGTAAGACCCAATCACCAGTAAATAGAAAGAGACTCAAAAATGCAAGAGGTTCCGCAAAAGAAGAAAAATTGTTACTTATATATCAACATAGGGTTCAGACTGAATACAACTTACACTTTCTCTATGCACTTCTGTACTACAGGATCATTCTATGCAAAAGCACTGACAATACAGACTTCTAAAGAAATCTCTGCGAGTCTAATAACTACTAAAGCAAATACTAGAGCCATTTATATACAAACAAGCACTACGCAATTGATCTGAAAAAGAAATAAAATAGCTTTCAGATGCAAAATCCATATGGGAACACATCACTTTCTCTTGTTCTAATGCAAGCAAATTAGCAGCATAAGGTGTCAGTGTCAAACGTCACTCATTCTGCATCAACCGTATACGACAAATGTAAAACTAACTGTAAACAATTTTAGTCTATCCAGACTCCCCTCTCCTAGCTCTCCTCTGAGTTAAAAAAAAAATTGACATAACTGCTGTTAATTCTTATAGACAAATTGTAAATCTGAAAAGCACATGTTTAATGAAAATCTAACAAATTAACAAAAAAGGAAGTGAAATGTGTCTTAGTGGCAGTCAAGACTATATTTTATCTGAAATTCTAATTAGATAAATACTAAGTTATATCTGGATTTATTTAAAGGAGAAATCTCAATTTTTTATTTTTATTTGTTACCATCTTTAACAAAATACTTTTTCTTGATGTTGTATTTGAGAAAAAATATTTTATTAAAGATTCTGTGAAACGTTTGTGCATTTGGTAACATTTTCTAGATGAATCAATAGCTGAAAACTCCTATTAGCTGTTTTTATTTCACGTTAAGCAGTAAAAACAAAAGGAATAATACTGACTGCTAGCACCCCCTCCCCAACTCACGATAGCATACAAGGTTAACAAGGGTTCTGAGAGTCCCAATCTCAACCATTTCCTATGGCCATATCCCTTATCTTCTGTATTACCACTGTGGCGTCTTACCTCCTTTTTTTTGTTCTTCAACATGTTCTGGAATTTGGACAATTCCTTCTCCTGTTCTGCTTTGATACGTTTTGCTTCATCTCGTAAACGATTTGTGTGTTCCTGTTCCAAGCGCTCTATTGTCTGTTTCTGCTGCTTTTCTAGATTTTCTATTTCTTGATCATACTGTCGCTTTTTACTCTGTAAAAATAATTCCATTTAATTTGGCATCTTTTTCGGGAAGGCTGAATATTGTACAGTGACACAAGCTGGGCAATCACCATAATGCAAAACATTGCCATTAGTAGCACAGAGTATGAAAAAGGAGCTACAACAACAATCATAGAAGGAAAGACTTTCACTGCTGCTGCTAGTGCCCTACCTAGTCCATCAGGACAGCATCTTTAAGAGTATTAGTTTTACGCCAAAAAGCTACATATTTTGTTGGTATCAAAACAAACAAAAAAAACTCACTGTCATTTCCTGTTCAAAACGTCTGTACATCTGTTCTCGCTGTTGCAAGAGTTTATTACTGAGCTGCTGTTGAGCTCTCTGCTCTTCCTTCTGAAGAAGTCTTAGCTCTCTCAGCTCTTGACGCCTAATAATGAAAAAGAGCTTTTTAACATTAACAGGACAACAAAAGGTAAAAATTACAAAAAAACCCCCTACAGCTTAGGCTCGGTAAAGCTAGCTTTGAATTGGTTGTGTGTCATTTTAAGAAATACTTTGCTTTCCTTTCAATTAGCCAAAAAAAATTGAACGGATTTCAATCGCCAAACATTACAGAAATAAGTCCGCTAGCCCTCCTCTTTTATTCAAAAAGAAAAAAAATTAGTTGCTAGGTTCAAGACACCAAAACCTCTTGTAAAATTACTTTAAAAGAGGCTTACCGTAGAAATCTCATTTCTTCACTTTTTGAGTCATTTTCAGTAACTATTTTTGATGTGGTCACACTCACTTCTACTCCATCAACTACAAACTTGCGAGTTTTCTTTAATGTTTTCTTTTGTCTTCTAGTTTCCTGAATAAAACATTGGTTAATTATTCCATGCTTAAGTCAGTAACACACTTTTTTTCTCTTTTTTTCTTAATATTAAATTACTTTAGATATTTTTCTGGAGGCCTAATGGGTAGCAATCAGGAGTGCTCAATTATCAGGTACCTCACTTCTCAACTGAGAACTCGAAACATTTTAAGATACTCTAACTTTCTTTAGTCAGTAAAGGAAAACCATGATTACTGATCATTTAAATTGCCATTCAGAGGGAAAACAAATCTAAATAATCCCGCAACAGAGCTGATACAGTTTTATTTTCTAGAGTTGAAGACTGTATGCTTCTGCCCATAGTTTTCCCAGTTAGCAAAAGGCATTTACTTCTGAAAAACAAACCAAAACTGAACAGTGATTTACTCACCTTACCAATTCTGCTTTGGAAGTAAGTTAGGCCAACAAGTTTATATTTTTGTCATTATATGTTACTAATCAATCAATTACATGATGATCTTGCTAAGAGAACACAAGAAGTTCTCATTTCTCAGAGCTGCTACTGTTTTATTACAGAGCAAAAAAGCCAGTTGAACCTGAGTCTCCATCGTGCTAGAACTATTGCAAACATACCAAAGTCATGCTTGTGCAGCTATGTCAAGTTGCAATTTTTTTTTGTTTTTTTAAATAGATGGTTACACAGATACTATCCTAGTATATTAGTGTAAAGATAAAAATAAAGTTCATATTCCGGAATGTGCTTGATCTGGATAAGCACATTTACATTGGTGTAATTGCATCAGTTATAGTACAACCAAAGCAGTACAGTTTTGATCACACTGTGAAATTTACAGTAAAAATGATTTACTTCTTATATGTTAGTTTATGTTTTTAAATATAATTACACAATGAAATAGGAAAATTATTAGCACCTCTGTCACTACTTGCTTTGCTGCATAACTGCACAAAACCCAGGCATCAGCAGTGCATTTCAGAATACCTCAGCTTCTGCAGGTCTATATATTCCAAAGTGCTACACTAGTTTTTCACTAGATAATTGTCTTAGTTTCAAAGGTAAAGCTGGCAGATGATTTTAGGGTCACAATCACGTAAGATATTAAAAAGTATATGGTTGCTTATACTTACTTGTAAAGATATTGATCCTGTCTCTTTGTTTTTACTGAGGAAGCTAGAAATGGACAAGTTCAAATCTATGCTGCTGTTGTCAGCTGCAGAACCAGTGCCTGAATCCGCATCATTTTCCTTTAGAGTCTCTGATTCCAGCTGCTGTAATGTTTCAGTATGGTCTCGGTTATCTGTTTTGACTTTTTCCTCATTTTCTTCAGTGCTAATGCTAATACTGGGAACTGGAGTCAGTTCAGAGTCATCAGCTTGTTCACCTGCTGCATCTCGAAGCTTATTCTTCACTACTTCATCTGAGGTAATTTCTGAATGTTCTTTGTCTACCTGAGTACTGGTTTTCAGGATAGTCTCAGGTCTGTGCCCTTCTGAATCCTGGTCCATCTCAGTTGGTTTATCCACCGCTTTCTCAGGAACATCTTCAGTCTTACTCTCTATTGCCTTCTGGTCTGCGTTTTCTTTTCCAGAGTCTTTGGTCTCTCTTTCCTCCGTGCTGCTTATTTTACAAATATCCTCATTCTCACCTTCTTCCAGTTTCTTGTCTACTTTGATTTCCTTATCTTGGCTTTTAGACAGCGTTTCTTCAGAGCTGTTTATCTCATGGACCTCCTTAGGCTGACTTTCCATTAGTTTATCCTCTGTCTCAGGTATTTTGTCCCCATCGCTGATCTGAGTTTCACCAGTTCTGCCTATCTCCTGAATATTGTCAACTCCATGGCTTATTAGTTCCTTTTCTTCATCAGCCACTTTATCCTCAGCACTAGCTAGAATTTCTGTAGTGGAGTCTATCATCACCTCTTTCTGAGCTTCGTCTTTAACTTCCTTTTGCTCTGTAGCATTTTCTGCAGTGACCTCTCCATTTTTATTTTCTGGAAGATCTGCTCTGTTTTCCTTCTCTTCTTTTTCACCAGTTTCCTTGGAAAAGGCTTCTCCAGTTTCAATGCTGTTTTCAGTTGTGGGTGCTATTATCAGCTTATTTTCTTCTGTCTGTTTATTTCCCATCTCTTTTTCTTTCTCTATTTTTAGGTTGTGTTCATCCTTTATTTCTGGTTTGGTAACCACAACAAGTTCTTTCTTTCCTTTCTGGGGTTCAATATCTTCATGTGCTTCCTCTAGGCTTTCTGTATTCTTTTCAATTGCCAATATTTTGCCTTGCTCACCTTTATCAGTTGGCACAGAACTATCCTGCACTTTCATATTGTCAACAGCAGTATCAGACATGTTATCAGCTGTTTTCTCAAATTTAACATCCTCAGATTCATCTCCAGTTGTTTTATCATCTGGAAATATACTGCTGTTTTTCTCCTCAGTTGCATTACTTTCTGTTTTCTCAGAAAGAGATTCCAGAACAGAGGCATTCTGTGAAAGTTTATCCTCTTCGGAGCTGGCAATACTAAGGTCAGAGGATGCACGCTTGTCTGTAGGTAACTGCTAAAAAAATTAAAGGAAGAAAAATATTTAATCATTCTCTAGTTCAAGTAAAGCACAGTTCTACTAAAAATACTTGAAGGGAGATTAATATATTTTACTTAGAGGCAGAGTTACATAAATTTAACAATCTTGACTAATTAGCTAGGTGTTGTCACAGAACAAGTACATGAACTACAGATGGGCTCTTCTGAACAGAACACAACTTCACGAGAACCCTCTTCCACCTCCTATAATTTCATAAAGTATACCTCAATTGAAGGAAAAGGATCATGGTCAGCCTTCTCTGCCATATACTTAATGGAGTCTCTTGCAATCACTTTGCTCCTTATTTTACTATTTCAGCTCCCCTGGTAGTTCCCCATCTACAGTTGGCTTTGAAAGACCAGGGCCAGGCTGGCAATGTAGAAACCATTTAGCTTTAGTTACTGCAGCACTTATGTAACATCATGATCTTCTACTGCCTCATCAAAAAGATTAGCTTTCCTTTTCTTCTTGGTCAAAGTGTCCAATAAATGCTCGGCTTCTTCTTTAATCATTGTGAAAATTTGTTAAAACAGTGAAAATTTCCTGCAGATATGAATAAGTGGTAATACAGAACTAGAATAGAAACAGTTACATACTTATACCTATGGAAAGTGTTGTTGCTGGAATATGAATGAATGTTATCAGATTACATATGGACATATACAAAAGAATAAAGTATCATTTTAATCATAATTGCCCTTTCGCTCTTCAAAGTGATTATGATATATCTCTGTCTATATTTACTGTTCAAACCCTGTAATTTGTAGATCAGAGTTCCGATTTGGCATTGGGAACACACTAGGTTAGCTAATATAACAAGCATGGGTTTGATCACACGTTTGCTACCTACCTTAAGGTCTTCTGAGTAAGCATACAGAAAACAATTCCTTTTAAGCTAAAAATGCATTTTAAAATATTTCATCATATAAATGTTCCAGAAGCTTAGTGCTGTTTTCCAAGCAGTATTTAAAAGGAACACAAGTAAATAAGGTAAACGCATCTACCTCACAATTTCCTAAACCGTTATGGGAAGCCCTCTCAAATACTACACGGCAGCAACTCACAATTGTCTGCAGCTAACCAAGTCACAGGGCGAACTTCACCCCCTCCCCCCCCCCCCCCCCCCTTCCCTCCTGAACACTGATGGCTTCGCAGCCAAATCAGCAGGGGCATGGGATGCCTGAGGAGACAGAGACCATCTCACCAGCCCTGGAGACGCCGGTGGGAACGTGGGCTTGGAGTTCTGCTGGGGATATAGGCAGAGTGGTATGAAGGCCAAGGGATCACCTAGCTTGGGGAGGGATGAGGAGGGAAGGGAGGCGTGCATCTCGTGCATGTGTATTTGGCTTAGCAAAACCCAGGAAGCAACTGCTACCGCTGCCAGTACTTGCAGCTACTGGTGCTAGTCAATGTCACTGTTGATAGTACTTGAGCCAGTTCGGCCTGAGAGCTGATAACCTGTACGGTCTGCAACCTGCTAGCACATGATCGTACTTCTGGGTTTTGCCCCTTGAGCAACTGAATTGGCCTGATCAGATTCCTAAGCATCTTCAGAAATATACGTATCTTTATATCTGTAGAAGACACGCAATCTGTTCTTGGTAAGGCATGTTCGCTTGCTTTGGGGTTTTCCTGTGACAGGCGCTTTGCAAAATCACAAACTTAGTCTACAGCATAGTGCTCATATATCTTCCATAACGATTTAATCATCGTACAGAACATACAAATATGTTTATATGGTCATCTAATCATATGAATTCAAAACCATTTATACAAAAATAAGTTAAAAATTCATCTCACTATATACAGATGTAAACATAAATGTACATAATATTCATTATTAGCAGTTCTTAAAGGGTTTAAACACACACACTTATTTTGAAAATATTGGTTTCTTATTTTGTAGTAAGATTACAGTATAATTATTTTATTCTTAGAAAACTTAAGGCAAGAATTGGACAGAATCAGAAAATTTTTCCACAGGAAAAAAAATCGTAACTAAAACTATTTGCACATTTAAAAACGTAAATTTTAAACTGACCAGAGAATTTTCTGTTTCCTCCTCTTCATCCTCATCTTTACCATCTTCAACTTCTTCTGTAACCTCAGCCTTAGCTTCTGCAATCAATTCTCTTATTGGTTTATTGGAAGTAACAGTAACAAATGGATGCTTGTGAAAATAAAAATAAGCACAATGGTAAGTGCCGACTCCAGTGTAGGCAGTGGGAAAATCGTAACGTTTCTCTGAACTTATTTCTCTGAAGTTACATTTTAGTCTCTCTAAAACCTGAAGATTCCTAGTGTTAGCATTAATCAAAAGGGTCTTTATCAATGCAGATTTTTCTGAGGAAGTTTTAGAATCAAAACATCAGTATTCCTATATCTACTGTGGTAAGTAGCCTAATAAACATATTAAAAATACAGGTAGTTCATTTATACTGACCTGCTTCACAATCCAAAGAATAAAAGTAGAAAGATATTTTAAAGGGCTATTTTTCCTGAAAAGGGGTTTCATCTCTTTTTAGTTCCACAGTTAAACTATTTCCTGATAGATTTTATCTAAAAACAGTTTATCTAGAAAAATACAGCTTTGCCTCTAGAACATTTTTTCCTAACAAGAGCTAAAAATCCAACATTTTTACTTAAGAGAAAACAGCTACCTGTTCCTCTCTTACCCCTACTGTCTGAGTGTTCTTTCTCTGCTTGGTCCTGCTGCTTAAATCCATTCAACATGCTGGAGGTAAACGCGTGCTGACGTTAAACAGAATCAAACGTACCTAGTCCCATCTACTCCTGTTTAGCTATTCTGCAGTGACAGCATTACAGAAGGCAGCTGAGCACTAAAGCTTTTAAAACACCTGTCAGCAATAGATTGCTTATGTAAATACATCTTCATCCATTAGAAGCATCGAAGTACAATTTAAATACTCACAAAGTAAACAGTTACATATATCAAAATATGCAAGCACAGAATTTGGTCTGCTTTTGGTGTTATTTCATCAGAATTTACCAAATGAGGATCAGTCCAACAATGTTAAATAAAGACTGTGTACAAACACTTAATTCTTAATTATTTAAATCTTTACCACAATACTGCTCGACTTTTAAAAGAAAAAACAATAGCTCTTAACAGTTAATTCTTCCTACCTGTAGAAGTTGAGTTGCACTCCATCTTGCATCTACATTCTTTTCCAAACATTTCTTTAGAAAATCTTTGAAATCTGATGACCTACATAAAAAGCAAACAGGCAATGGCTTTCCTTTAGCCTTGACATCAGACTAGTGCATAGTGAAATATTCCACATGCATCTACATTACAACTCCATGCCCTCCTACCCACTTAGAAAAATAGGACTGTACAGGAATGAAAAGAGCAATGTGACACAAATATCTTTAAAATTTTCCTCCATCTATAGCAAAGTTTACCTTTTGCACTGAATTTACAATATACCCCATCTGCTATACCACTAACTGGTACCACATAAACGTATTATAATGACTGAACAGAAGACACTGGCTTGTTTAATCTTTTCCTAGTATGAAATCCTTAAAAGTCTTCCTTTACTGTTTTTCTTTTCTTTTTCAGATTGTCTTCAAATCTTTTATTGCACTTGTAAAGAGCTATTTTATGTACATTTTAATGTTAAATTAGTTTTCAAATTTCTCAGAAAATTTTTCAATTTTCTGCAACATTTTCAGTATAAAAATTTCTATAAAGTTCTACAACAAAAAGGCCACAGTTCCAACTGTTCAAGGATGTACCTACACACACGTACATAGAGCATGTCCCTGGCTTGCGTATGAAGTTAGTCACATAAAGTTCAGTAGGATCGCACACGTGAATGTAAATTAAGAGTTTTGGCATGCCACAAAGTCAAAATCTACATACTGGGGCAAGGGATGGGATGCTATCATTAAAATACTAACCACTTTGAAGGCTGTGCTAACGTAGGCGGATCCGATTTTGCTATTTTCAGAAGCACTCGCATTGGATTTAATTCATGATGAGGTGGCTCTATTTGAGCCATTTCTATTAAAGTAATGCCAAGAGACCAAATATCAGCCTTATAATCATAAGGCCTGTCTTTAGATGTCTCACACATTACTACTTCTGGAGCCATCCTGCAAATAGAAGAATGATGTACAGGATTAGAAAAAGAAGCATTCATCTTCTTAGGAAAAAGCATCTAAGCAGATGACTTCACTGAAACCATGTAAGAAGTAGGTGTTCTTCTTTAATACATTTACATAACATTTTATCAAGCTTATAATATTAACATTGAGGGTGATATTAGAACATCAGTTCATACTAGAAGGTCAGCAAAACAGTGCACTTACCAATACGGTGTACCAATAAAAGAATCTCTTCTCTGTATTGTCCTTGTGTTTTTAGCTGATACTCCAAAGTCCGCTTAAAGCAAATATTAAAAGTACTATTAACCAGGTGGTGGAACATGCACTATATTTTTATATTTTACGACTTTATTCTAAAATATTTTGTTACAGAATAAACATTCTACAATATTAAAACTCCAAAATAAGAAAGCAATATTTTATTTTGGTAATTGAGTGCCAACGCACACAGGTTTTGTAACATCCCTAGTAGAAGATATTCAATAAAGGCTAATTTTCATTGCTAAGAAAGTAATGCCAAGGTTAAACTGCGTGGGATAAGCCAGAGTCATGTATTTGCTGTAAGGATAAGTGGATTACATTATTTTAATTACTACATTATTTCTTTATCCTATGAAGGAACTGCCCAGAAGTGGCATATTAACCTCCCTTATTATTTTGACAACTCATTCAGTTTTTGATTTCAGGATTCAAAGTTTCCTACAGTGAGATTTTTGTGTTGTCATTTTTCTCTACCTCACAGGTTTCTTTCCGCCTAATTTTTCACTTTATGTTAAATATCTGAAATCTTGCATATTCCTCTTCAGTCAATATTTGACTAAAAATCAAAATAATCTTTCATTTAGTATAATCTATAAAGCATTACATTTCTCAATTAGAAAAAAGGCATTTATATTTAAATGTTATACTTATGTTATAGATGTAACATTTCTTAATGAAGATCTACTGGTTAGAGCAGAGGGACAAAACAGCCATATGTTACTGGCTTTAATCTATACAAAATGACTTGATGGGCTCAACACTTGAGAAGCCTAATTTTGCTCTGTGGAGAAAAAAAAAAAAGTGAGGCTTAAGAGAGCTATTTGTTCAAATACAAAATCTGAAACACTGAGGGACTACAGACAAAAATAATAAAAATTAAAATTCTCACGAAAATAATATTCAGTGAAGGAAATTTCCTTGTCATCCACATATTTATAAAACAAAGAATTACTCACTTTTACATGTGCTAGAAGCAAAAAATACAGCTAGGTTAAAAGGAGTAAGATGCTTCTCCAAAGGATGCTGCACACATTTCAAAAATAAAGTAATTCTCTTTTAGAAATCATAATTAGCAAACCTGCATATATCCACTAAATGCATGCATGGAGCAGATTTCTTTCTATTCTGAATTCTAAAGTAGTGTCTTGACAGCCTGCTACATGTCAGCCAGGCTTGTCAAAGAGCTTAATATAGTTCCAGGCCATGTGAGGAGGAAGCAGGTCATATGAGGCAATTAAAATGAACAGAAACAAATGAATGTCTCTCTAGTCATAAGAATCTTATTATGGTTTCTCTTTCAGTAGTACTTAGAAACTAAAGAGACTAGCTCCACTACGTTTTAAATATGGCCTGTAAGAGTGAGCCCATATCTCAATATTCAAGTTTACTAGAAAAGCAAAACAAAAACAAAAAAAACTTTGCAGTTGAAAAGAAAGGCACGTGTAGGTGTTATAAGTACAAATAATAGTCTTGTACAAGAGGGAATCTACGCAAAAGCAGAAATACACTAATGGATCGATTTAGCAAAGCAGGCACTTAATTATTCTCAATTTATTAACAGAGATGACGCATTATACCTTAACACCCAGCCATCCAGAGACACTGTGATCAGCAAGAGTTAGGTATGAATTTGGTGAAATTATATTGGCTTAAATTTAAAAAGCACCTCTGTGGCTAGGCTGGGAGTTAAAAGTCTCCAGTTAACTGTGGTAATCCTTAGATTCTCCTTGTCTTTACCCTCTGTGTAACTTGCATCCAAAGAAGTCGCCTAATGACAGCTGTTGTACAGAGAGAAGCGTTTGAAACCTGAACACCAGCTGCTACGTCACGGAGCTTGACACTGGGCACAGCCACTATAACGGCTGACAGTTTATACACATTTGTCCCTGAGGAAGCCCTGATCCCAGTGGATCCAGATAATTGCTATCTTTTCCTGGCTGAATGAAAGCAATGCTGTTCACACCCAACAGGCAGCTGGGAGGTCTTCATGATCGACTCCTCATGGATTCCCCAGCACACTGAAGGGAAAATTCGGATGCTTGCTTAAATTCAGATGATAGGAATCAACAACAGAGAGCTTTCAATTTTCTTCCAGACTGTTCCATCTTAATATCAGTGCAATCAATAATAAAAAGGGTATGAAAAAACTAAAATGAGTAATTAAGAACATTACTTCTGTATGTATTTCTATATAGAGAAATAACAGAAGAGACAAGAGGACTAGGTAGTGGTTTTTGGTGACGGTAAGGATGTTCATTTTCAAAACTAATAACTTCAGCGGGAAGCTTTCAAGTTACCATAGTAAAGATGAATATAATTAGGAATGTTATAATAAAAACAGTAGGACCTCTGACTGACTTTAGGTAACTTGGTACATATATTGATGATGCCTACACCTGCCGCTTTTGAAGCTTATGACAAATTTGCCGAGCACAGTTTGGACACCTACTTGAGCTTTATTTCTTTTCCATAGTAACAAATCTTTTCTATCTGTGAACAAATTATCACTCTTAGATTTACATTTAAATACATATATACTGAACTCTGCCAAAATACAGCCAAGAGAAAACACAATTATATGACCACCTGAAGTTCTGGGGAAGAGGTTTTATACGCAACATGCTTACCTAGTTTAATGTCTCCATCTAATGTGAAAAGAATATTGCCAGCTTTTAAATCTCTGTGGATGATCTTATTTTCATGCAGGTAGTTCAATGCTTCCAGTGTCTGTCTGCATACCACTTTGATCTGTGGCTCTGTTAACGGCCTCTCGAGCTCTAGAAGAGAAAGAGACAGAAATAAATACAATATTTTTCCATTTTTTGTTCTTATTTATTCATAATGATCAGTCTAGAAGTATATGTAAAAATTAACTAATAAAGCTGACAGATTCTGTACACTGCATATCAGAAAAACTTCCTAGTTCAAAATTCTTACTCTATCTAGATTAATAGCAGAATTTCAAATTCTTTCAGGGGAGCAATAATTTCATCCTTTGTACCTGGAAAGATCCTCAGTATGAACCATCTATACCACCTTATCCAAACTGTGAAAAAGCCACATAATTTAGAGACTGATTTCTTTTGTGTGGTATACAGAAACGTTAAAGACAAGATCCGTTACTTACTGGTATTAGCACTCACCTAATTTGAGGAATAGTGCAGAAAATCTAACTTTAAGGCTAATATAATATAAAAAATTATCATAACATAATTTGGAGGATGACTAGGGAAGGGGAAGAATCATATCCTGGAAAAGGGTATGATCCTGGAAAAGGTTATCATATTGATCATCATATAACAAAAGAGAGCTCCATAAGAGTATGAGAACAGCTTATCACATTAATTTAGAGGATCTAGACATCAAAAATGTGTTTTGCAAAGTAAATGAACATTGTAAAAATCCAGAAAATTTAACTTATAATTTTCATAGCTACAGTTGTAAATGCTCGTTAAAAACTACCACAATTCAAAATACATGGCCCATATATTACATAACTATTTGCATTTCAAAGCAATATACATGTGAAAAAAATAAATTAAAATATATAACTATTATCATTTTAAGGTGTTATAAAGTTTATTATTTGAAAGAACTTCTATTTACCCAGCATTACTGCATCTACTGCTCCACCAGCACAAAATTCGATCAGGATCTGTATATAAACAAAAGAATACATAAATTATAAATTAAACAGTTCTGCTGAAATGAATCATTGATTAGAGGAACATTATCAGAAGACCTGAGTTTCAAGCTATTTGACCTTGAAATTAATTCACTAACCTCCACAAAATATCGGTACTATTACTCAACTAAAAGTAGGGCTGTGAAGCTCAAGTAAATTGTTTGAAAAACGCTGGGTGATCCTCAGACAAAAGCGTTAACCCAATTATAAAATTCTACAATAAAAAGTATTAGGGTCAACTTGAATCTGACTTGTTGTAATGTGATTTACCTAATCCCTGCAAACTCATTTCTCAATTATTATACTGTATGTCCACATTATATTCTCTTTGACTGAAAAAGTTCAAGAACAGAAGCAACACGATTTTCCAGTAGCAGAAATTGCTATTTTCTATATTTGTTTCACACGAAATGAAAATATAGAAAAATACACTAAAAAAATTACAGAAAATTAGTAAGTTTAAAGAATAAATTGAAATGTTCACATTCATTTTTCTCCTTTTTTATTGATGCCTATAATTTGCCCCAGAATCTAATAATACTAAAATAATTAATTTCCAGTTCTCTGTTTCCTTGTGAAACAAAAATAAACTATGCTGACATGTAGAACAGAAAGAAGGTAGACGAAGGTAATGAAGAGAACAGGGAAAAAAAGGAAAGGCAAGTCAAGACTTTGCTACTCCATTCTTCTTTGTTTTCTTTTTTCAGTAATTTGAACTTTAAACGTTTAACTATAATTTTCAGACTGATGGCAAAAGAGTACTTCCTGTCATAACCGAAACGGTCAATATTCTCGGAAATAAAATCTTGATTTTCTGCTTCAGTGTACTTTTAAATTCAGAGCATAATTGCTCATAGAAGACGACGACTCAGATTATGCCTTATACAGTAACACTCATATTTACTACTTATGTGATATAACACTACTTTAAATTAATATTGTAGCTAATCATTGCTACAACGATACTAACAAATGTATTATATAGTGCAACTCTTCATAAATCCTCTAAACTATTATACCACTTATGTGCTTCTACACACCCACCACCAAGTAAGTTAAGTGTTAAAAAAAAAAAAATCTAAATAAAGAATTTCTTTCTCTAAAATTTGCTGTTTGTTCTGATAATCTGACAAATCTCTCTTTGGTAAAGAAATTATGTTTCTAAAACTGGAAAGCCAAATAGCATGTTTTATGTCCGGCTCTATCATTCTTTTCTTTTCTCCTCCCACTTAATTCTGTTTACTTCCCACATCATTATAGTCTTCTCCCTGTCACTTTCATGGCTCTGCTACTTCACAGTAACTAAATATCTGCAATTCTGTATCTTCAATTTTATTTTCCTTTCCTACCATCTTTGCTCTGCCAGTGAAGCCCACCCACTCAGATTCACATTCAGCTTCTACGCGTACTTGCTTTCATGCTGACATTTATGCATGGAAGCGTTTTCATTATTCCACTCTGTAATACAATATCATTCTACCCTCCACTCAGATCACTCAGGTCTTCACAAAGTCCATCAAAATAAATCTACTTCAGGAAGCATGGTATTACACATCCATTATTTTTATGCTTAAGGAATAAAGCATATTCATATGACCCCAGGGAAACCTCCTGTGTAACTTTTTTTTAGATATTTTTGCAATTTAAATTCTTAAAAAAGACATCTATATTTTCCTTGTGCAATCCCAAAACCACTTATACAAATATTATATGAAATCATCTAAAATAAAATAAAATGTATTTTCATACCCAAAGTTACGCCGTGCAGCGGAATTAGCAGAACACTGAGGTACAGTCACATGAATACACACTAAACTTCTGTTTGCAAAAGATCTAGATTTTTAGTAAACTAATTATGGTTCAAGTCCTGGCAAACTGTCCTCCCTGGCAGTTACCAATGAATTCAGCTGGATCTAAAATAAACATATACCTCACATGATTGACCTTTTCAGCCCCTTATTCATTTTGCAGCTGCAATTTCTGCATCTCACTCTAAACTGTACTAATGTAATTAAAATCTGAATCCTGCTGTTACAAATATGCACTGCCTAAGAACTCTACCCATACATGCAAATCAATTGCTAACTTCCAAATTTTAGTTTCGAACTGCTGACTAGATGACTTAGTGCAGTTCAATTTTAAGGACAGTTTCCTAAAAGTCATACTCACAATTTGCAGATTAGTTTTGAAACTGTAGGCAGTTATCCTAACAGTGACACCACAGAAGAAATACAACTGATTAAATAAGAATCTTTACAATTAGGCCAGGAAAAAATGAAATTTCAATATTCTTTTGACACAAATAAAAGCATTTATAGAAAAAAACACCTACCCAGAGATTGTTTTCATAGTAGAAAGCATCTAGGAGCTTAACAATATTAGGGTGATCACAGGATGCTAAAATATCAATCTCAACCATGTAATCTTCTAGTTCTTCTTCCGATTTAGTATCAATCACCTTTGCAGCAGCCAGTACTTTTGTTTCTTTGTTCTGAGCCTATAAAACAAAGCCACAGCAAACAGTTAGATATGAATTTAGACAACTGTCATAAAAAAAAAAAAACCCTCCCATCCTTTGATATTTCTGTACTACTTTCCTCCTTTAGCATGCTTCTCTAGAAATATTTATTCATTAATCCTCAACATTTCCCTGAAGAATACATAAGAGAATACCTGCACATTAAAGACTAGGTAAATTATGGCCGAAGTTTTAGTAATTTGTCTCAAAGTCATAAAGAATCAATGGAAGGCAAGAACGAAGGAATGCTTGACTCCAGTTGCATTCTTTAAATCACCGTGGAGTTGATAGTTCAGAGACATTACTATTTTGTACTCCTTGGATGAAGTTCAGTGCTGCTCCTCAAAAAATCCATCAGTATTTGGCAGCAGTACAAAGTAGCCTCTACCTTCCTATATATGACTGCACATTCTTGCCCTTCCGGCACTCCCCACGTTGTAGTAGCACAGCTGATCACAAAGCCGCATAGAAAACCAGATGCTCTATCAGTAATCAGCAGGTTATGCTCGTCTTGAGCTAGGGGATGTATTCAAGCTGTCATGTTAAAAAAGCTGCCAAGCCAACATGAATTTGTCCAGACATTTTGCTCTGCTTGCTTCATAAGTCTAGGAGCGCTTCCACAGACAGCTACTCACCGACGCTGGCCGGGCTGAAAACTCTACCAACCTCTGCTTTATGGCTCAACCCCTTAAGACTGGGGAGATTTTGATTTGAAAAGCAAAAGGAAAATGAAAGCTTGGGTACCTGAGAGAAAGCATTTTTCCTGGCATTTGAATAATCTTCAGCTTTTTTTTAAACATTAAAAACATTTTAATATTATAAACAAGTAGGATGACGTGCATTTAAATAGTAAATACAGTTTCAGAAACCAGTTACTGTAAATGCTTTTTCAGCAATTTTTTTGTAATTAAGTAATTCATCAAAACTAGATTTCTTTTTTTCTTTTTCAATATATGTTGGAGATAAAGTATATGTGTACATACTATATATGTATGCACACACACATATATATACACACACACCACGCATTTTCTAATACATCTCTTGCACGCTGCTTAAAGGCACACTGTAACTTGGAACCTGGTGCACTTCAGACAAAACAGGAATAATTTCTGAAACCATCACAAAAACACTAGTCCTATCAAGGCATTCACAGTGGTTAACTTTGCCTCTGAATAAATGAAGTTATAGGATGGAAGTCAACCTCACCGATTACACAAAAAGACCATGAAAAAAAGGCCTAGATTTACCCTACTGAGCTTTAGGCATTAAAATGAAATGAGAAGTAGGGACACAGGTGCTCTCCCAAAGAGCAAAAGGTGAGAGAGAGTCTCCAGGACAATTCCAACAGGAGGCGTGAACCCGCGCGAGGTGGGTCACCCCATCTCTCTGCTGCACAGGGCGTCTTGCTTCCACACTTAGTCAGGAAGGACGTGGGCCAGGATACAGCCAAAAACACAACAACAACCACCACCACCACCCCAAACATTTTTTGGTCACCTAATCTCATTATACTAATCTTGGACAACAGCTGTAAAACCAGCAAGTAGGAATTCTTAAGCATGATTTCCAAGGCCTAAATATTGCTACTTCCCATTTTTTCAATGTGGCAAAGGAAAATACAAGCTTTAAAAATGGACATCCATGAAAAACATTCATTCAGCAGAACAACAGTAACTGCAAAATACAGTCACAGGATGAATCAGCTAGGACTATGGTTGTTATGTTGAGGATAAAGACTGCGATGCATGTGCAATATTTATTTATATCTCAATACTCACTTCAAAAAGTGCCCTTCAAATAAAAAATAATATTTTCCTTCCCAAATAATGGATTTGTATAGCATTATTCTAAAACGAACAAAATACTGACAAGTTTTCTAACATATATTCTAAATAAGCATGATAATATTAAAAAGAAAAAGGTGTGCTTAATGCAAAAAGTATTGGTTTTAGTTTCATGTTTTATAGAAGGAATAATAGACCAACTTTCCTATCCCGTAGCTGGACTCAACATATTGCAAATCAAACACGAAAGATGAAACAGATGTCTCACTCTACAACAGAATTAGAGTTGTTGGAAAACTAAAAAAAATATGTTCGCAGAAAACAGTTGTTAAAACACCTTTTTAAAGAATACAAATATTAATTAACTGGAAATTTCTTTTTGTGAAACCAGCATGGCTACTCACTCTCCACAGTATTTTAGAACTGATTGCTGATAATACTCCAAAAAATTATGAGAAAATTCTAAAATTCACTTTCAGCCAAATTTGCACTTAAAAATCAGTATCATATTCCTGAGATTTTGTTTAAATAAAACTTTGTTTTAAATTTCTATACCAATTAACGGTAACAGATTTTACCGTTTTCAGATTCAATTTCACCTCTGAGGGAGAAAAAGACACACTTGAAAATCAGGCTGCATGACTACATGTTAGGGATTTTGCAGCATACATGGCATATATATATATATTTTTTTCTACTGACAGAGTACTTTGCATTTTGATTTTTTTCCCCAGGCCTTTCTGCTTGAAGTAAAAGAAGCTTATTCAAACCAGATTTCTCATTATCACTTGCTTGTGGAAGCTCTGTTAAAACACTCAATTATAAAACAGAGGTGATTATAGAGACAGTATAATTATCTTTATGAGCATCCTCACAATTATAAACAAAATAAATGTATGCTCTTGTTTCGACTTCTGATAGTAACGTTTTGTGGGCCTGGATCCAGAATTTTTTCCTAGTCCTCAAAAGAAAAAGAAATTATAATTAGCATATTCCTGCCAGGTATTTCTGAAGACTGATAATTTTAAGTGCACATCAAGTTATACTGAAAATAAAGAACATCTTTATAAATTTTAATTGTGGTCTTAAAAGTTCATTTTCAGTAAGATATTATTAGTTTCCCTTCTAAAACGTACATGCTACGCTATAACAACAATCTACCTACGTGGCTTGCTGTGAGAAACTCATGAGAAATATTTGCCTTTGAACTGCGTAGGAAAGGATTTTACTCTTCATGCATAAGACCTACGTAGCACCGAGTCGTATGGGAAAACGCTAGACTGAGAAACAAGGAACAATAAGCATTCACAGCTCTGTGTGGGCACATTTGTTTTTTCTAGACTTCAGTTGAATCCTTTCTTCTGTCACATAACATTTTCTGAAGGTCAGAGCAGGAGCAAAAGCGTTTGTGCAGATGCATTCTTGATTTGCGTATACTCATCTTACAGTTGGGCACTTGAACACTTGAAGTCAAATAAAAAACATTCACGCTACTTGAGGTTCTGCCCTTTCAGAATAGGCATATATATCCTTATATTAGTTTCTTCAGGTATTTTAGAGTTCCAATATCAGTTCAAGTTAGTCTTATGTGCTCTGCTCAAACTCATTTGATTCTGCTTCTCTGATGGGTGGTTTAAGCTTTGGTCTCATGCAAAGAAATCCAAGCCACTCTGTCTTTAATAGTTTTGGTTCCATTCAGCCTTCTGTGGAAGCAGGGAAGCAAGGGAGAGAAAGCTTTTCTTTCTGTGCATTAACAAAATTTGATCTCTTCAGAACATTCATACCTATGGTTGAAAGCTGGGTCAGAGTAACTCATTCCCCCAACAACTGATTACTGCAACATGTCATTGCTATTATTAACTACTATATGCAGTAATATATAAATATTACAGTCCTTCCACTAAAACTTCTATTTGGATTATTTATTCAAGGTTACTGCAGTACACACTAACTTGCGGGGGATAGTACATGCAATGGAATAGCAAACCATGTTACAGCAATTCTTTCACCCTTGCAACGGATGGCACAGTTTCGTTAGCAGCAAATATACAGAAAAATATCCTTATTTTCTTAGTTCTAAGAAAAAGTATTTTTAGGAAGATATCGTATGGAGGCTTCCATACAAAAAATGATTTTGTAAATCAGAAACTTACAAATTACTTTCTCTGAACCTAAAATACTTCACACTGAAATGGTAACTAAATCAACTACACAAAAACAAACATTTGGAAATATATCAGTACTGGACAGAGGAATAACCATTCTACCTGAAACCAGTATTTGCGAGTGCATGAAGCTAGTGTTCCATTGCTACTTAGATTTTTATACAGTGTCCTGTACCCAGCTATCAGTTCCAGATCCAGAGGGCTTTATGAAGTTAAGAGACTGATAGCAGAATATTAAAAGGCAGCTTTACCATCTGGCCCCTCACCCAAAAGATTGCATATTCCCAGCTATGGACAACACGGAAAGCAAAGCTACTGCTCCAAAGTAACAGGTTTCTAGCTCAGAGATAACTCAGTCTTTCATCTTTAGAGGACCAACGTGAAATTTCTGCCTCGGTTGTGAGTAGCTGTTTCGGCTGCATATCACCAGCACGTGCTTTCTTCCCAGCTGTGCAGTTTCCCTCCTGTGATGCAGCGCTACGCACATGGGCATCTAAAAATGACAATACTATTCACAGTCAAAAAAAGTTAAGTACATCCCTTCACTACTGTTCAGTCTACCAGAAACACTGCTGAGATATGAGATAGAGAATTATTTGTCACTTCTTTCTTCCGAATGTCTGATTTCTTTGGAAACGTTATATAATCACACAGTTTTGCAAGCAGCAAAACAAATCAATCAAGAAGCTGTTCCTTCCGGACTCATTCCTCTCAGCCAAACTGTAATCATAATCATAGTCCATCAAGGTTACCATAAAGTGGGAAATATGCATCCCTATTCAACAAAAAACTTTTTGTATATAAAAGAAGCTATATTTGTGTAAACCTGGAATTTTCAGATCTAGCTCCATTTAACACTTTCACATGATGTCTAATCTGAGTAAAATAGACTCAGTACCGAAAGACTGTCCTTGCACAACACAGAAAGGCAAGAGCTGTTTCTTAAGAGCTATCAGAAAGCAGCTAGTCTGGGCTTTCTTGAATTTATGAACCAAGAAAATTCCTACAATTTCAGATTGTAACAGCCTGACCAAATGAATCTATAAGCAGCCAGGTCTACTGGAGAAACTACACTGGACTTCGGTTTGCATGAATTTCTATATTATATCTAACATTTTGCTGTGCATTTTGAAACTAAAGATAGCTGCATAATTGACTAGTATTATTGTCATTCATATTACCAAAAGAGTGCTTATTAATGAATTTTAAGAAAAAGAAACTCTACTTTAGTCAGATAAAAGGAAGCATGAATTCTAACACCCAGTGTAGGACAATA